GAATATAAATTTTCCAGATGAATACCACATTGATGCAGTATGTCATGCATGAACAGGCAGAAGACCACAATTCCCAACAATAGTCATAATACTTGGATCACAGTCAGATGCAATTTTAGCCCAACTGTTCTAAGCCATTTTCTCATGACCCCTGTCATTTGTGGCAAGGAAGACAGGGTTGTTTCCTATCTAGCAGAGTGCGGGTTCATGTTAAGCAATCCATTGTGGTTACCGATACATAGCTCACTGTTTAAGAACCGAGCCAGAAACTTGTGGCAATATGTATCAAAGGGCAGGTGATAGTCCGCCAGGCTCTAAACATCAGCAACCAAAGAAGTAAGTTTTGGAACTGCTTTCTTTGAGGGAAAAATGGATGGAGGTACCTTTCAAGGAAGGCTCAACAGTCTCTATGAAATCCAGGAACCCTTCCTCAAAATAAACATGGCCAATTCCTTCCTATTATTTTCTCCACAGTAGGCTACTACAGTGCTTGTGTGGAGCTATCTGCTGGTGAAGGTGACAATGCAGATACCGCCCTGGCACTGAGCAAATGCCCCTTCAGGAACTGCAAAGAGAAATGACACCAAACGGAAAAGGCCCTTCCCTTAGCAGGTGGTCCCTGATTCTACATCTGAGTCCCCACCCTTTTCAGATGGTGAAACTGAGTAATCAGAGGACATAACAAAGGGCTGTAACTTCCTTTCCCTCTAACTGTGCGTGGGTGCTGGGTCCGGAATCAGATAACTAACGGCAGCAGCTTTCGCCTTTGCAGCTTACTGGGAAACTGCTCAGGAAAAGCAACTAAACAGGCGGTTAATGGGATGACAGAAGATGGCATGCTGATCTCTCTCTCAGCAGCACTGAAGTCGCTTCCTCCTGTTCACGCATCTCCTGATCAACTTTACACATGTCCTGTTGTTGAGATTCGTCCTGGACAAGCATTTCTTGTACAGCCGTATAATCTGTTCTGCAAACCGTCTCCACAGCGGCACAAACACAGCAACGGGCACTCCTCTGTGCGACAGCTGTCGCTCTCTTCTTCTGCCGATTGTGTTTTGCTCACTGTGCTAGACACGCTGCACTGTGCAGAGAGAGAAAGAAGCCCATCGTTATGGCATCAGAAGCAAGAACCTGAACTTACACACACAATTCCGAGACATATCAGTGTGACACCCATGAAGACAGAAGTAGTTAAAATTAAAAAGTGAGCAACCACTCCCCCCCCCGTCACACACTCCCAACCGGCATTCACAACTCTGCCCAATTCTGTTCACAACAAAGATGTCTGCCACAAGTTACACTGGGTGTAGATAAAGCTTTTGAAAAGACTCCCTAATACCTTCCCCTGAAATGCACATGCAAATGTCATTTACTCACCACATGAACAGTCCAGATGGGAACAGTTGCACAGGTGGTTTCCAAGGCTCCACAAATCACAGAACCTGAAGTCACCACATGCACTGTATTTGACTGGTGGGCAGACTGCGGGGTCTTCAAGGCCATACTGTCAGTTAATCAGATGAGGACTGTGCATCTGTTTTCAGCTGACAACACACATAATGTTGAATAGTAGAAAATGGGAGAGAAACTTCTCTTACACAGAACAGATAACAGAATATTTGTGAATGAAGTGTTGGAAATTAGAGATGTCGTGTGAGTGCCTGCCTCACAAGGGCTATTCTGGGGAGCACCAGCTGGAAAGTATTTTCTCCTTTTGAACAAATGAAACGCTTAAAGATTTTATTCGCTTAATGTGTAGCAGACAGATTTTTATGTAAAACAAGCCTATAGCAATAAATATTTATTTATTCCTCATATTTCTACCCCGCCCTCCCAGCCAAAGCCTGTGAACAAACATATAAAGCATATGTAAGGATATGTTTATTCTTCAAATATGACTAATTCAGTCCACAATTAATTTGTTATAATGCATACAATAATACACTATTAAAGAGTTCAAAGTTTTCAGCGCCACAAAGCTTAACATGGTATCCAAATACACTGTACATCTTTTAAGTTTATATGTCACTAGTTCTTTCTAAACAATTCAACAACAAAAATTTTGTATTTTCCATTTTTATTTTTCTCAGCCTCTCAGATGACAAAAACTAAGATACATCAATTTTGTATTTTCCATTTTAATTTTTCTCAGCCTCTCAGATGACAATAACTAAGATACCTACATGTACTAACGTGGCACAGGGTTCAGTAGTCTCCAACTCTCTCACTCTGCCATTGGGTATATTCAGTTCTGCTTTCAGAAAACTAACAGTGCTATCCCAAGCAAACGTATAGCCTCTAAATCCAGTGAAGCCAGTGGTCTTATATTAGGCTAGAACTCTGCTTCGGCTGTCACTATAAGGCACCCCTGATTTTTAATTTCATAAATGTGCCAAGTATTAAACAACACTTATTAAGTTGTTAATTTCCCCCGTGACTTCAAAATTTCCAGAAATTTTATTATCTTTGTTGACAATATTATGGAAGTTGCTATACAAAAGAGGCAGTAAACATTATCAAGATGAATAATGATTCGCTTCTGAACTGGTGCATGCCATGGACTTCTATTCTAAAAGTTATAACAAGGAAAATAGTTCTTCAGTGGATAGTCACCATTCCCTGCTCTACTCCTTCTTGTTTGCTTATATACATACTCCCTCCCTAGCCCAGTATGTAACACAAGATTACTCTCCCCTTGCAGCTTCAGACACCTGGAGAATGAAAGCTACAACAGGAGAAAGAAACTATCCCATAACTTGTAGAATGGGATTTAATGAAGCATGCTTGCTGTTTTCCCTGCCAGCATTTATGAGTTTATATTATGTTTTATTTAATTGTTTTAAATATTACGTATATTTGTTTTTTAAATGTCTCAAATGTTTCCCTCATTTTTATGCAGAAAACTAAACAAGGGAAGAAGAAAGGAGTTGAAGAGAGGCCTGGTATAATAAATTGCGCTGATCTCTATATTTGAGAATTGAAAGGTTCACACATAAAAGACGATGAGAGAGGTCAGAGTCTCTAGCCTCTCATGCCATGAAGATAAAAGTGCAATAAAGGTAAACAAAAACTAATTAAGAAAGACTTTTTGAAAGAAAAGGATTATGGCATGTATTTACAATACTTTATCATTTCCATTACTTCCAATAGCTTGTCTGTGTTCTCTATTTACTGCCATACATTTTGTATTTATTTAGAAGACTTATATCCCGCTTTTCAGCCCAATCAAAGCCACCAAGGGAGCTAATTAAAAAACAAGTTGTTAAAAAACACATCATAATACAAGTTCAAAACCAGAACTAAAATGACACTTACATGTACAGAAACCATCAATTAAAAATGCAGGGTAGGGACGAACATCAGGTGAATCAAATGCCATTGTATGTCTTTCAAAGTAACATGTTTAGTAGTGGGATGCCATTCGTTACCAGAAATTATTCAGCAGATGAACAACAGCCCAGTATTTTCACCAGATAATCCCAACACTCCGATTTAAAGGAGTTTAATTCCAAGGAAACTCCTAGACACTGATGATGTTAATGAAGAAAGAGAGGGAGCATACATATTCTTAGAGAAGAGATGTGAAGCTGGAATATAATCCTGATGCAGTCTAAGCAGGTATGGGCCTTGCCATTACTTGAAACGCATAATGATCTCTTCTTTGAGGCTATGCAGGTTGGGGTGTTACTGACCATCTCTGCCTAGCCTTCCTCAAAAGGAAGTTAAGGTAAAAGAGAATGTACTTTTACCATCCAATGGAGCAGATACACTATTCATTCTACTAGAGTCAACTAGATGTAAACACATTAGCAATACGTGTAGCACACGCCTTCTCCAGGCACTCCAACAACTTGCCTGTACTTAGCCCTAGCTGAGAAGCTTGCAGCCGCCACCACCACCACCCAGCCAACAAGCTTTTGCTAAAGCATTCTATGTACTGTGAATTGCTAGGGAGAAAAAAGAGAATGGTAATGTTTGGCTAAAAATAGAATTATAACAATGACAATATTAGTTCTTTTTAAAAAACTCCAGTAAGCTGCTCCAAACGTCCTGCACGACACATGGCCTATGAATGTAGCTAATAAACATATCTAGTAAATGTCAATAAAATAAATGGCACATCTCTTGACTGGAAAGTATAGCATACTGTCTCTTTCACCTTAGCTTACATAGAAGGAAAGTAAATTAGTCACAGAGAGTTGGTAACCAAAGGTTCTCAAACAAACCTCTGGCTTCATCAAGGATGGGAACTCAGGCACCTCTGATCAAAGACCAAATGAAGTGAGATTTGTTTCCTCAGACTGCACATTTACTGATTTCAATGGGATGGGGTTGCCAACTGAGTCGGGAAATACCTGGAGATTTTGGGGGTGTAACCTGAAGAGGGCAGGGTTTGGGGAGGGACTCCAATGGGCCAAAATGCCATAAAGTCCACCTTCCAAAGCAACCATTTTCTCCAGGTCTCCAGATCAGCTGTACTCCCAGGAGATCTCCAGCCACCACCTGGAGACTGGCAAACCTAGGGTAATTTTATATATTTGTGATTGCTTTTATAAATATATAAGCCTCGTTTTGGAAGTTCACAAGGACCTTTCAAAATCTTGCCCTTGGCAAATGAAAACTTAGACGGTAAAAGTGCAAAAGGTGGCCACCCCCCCGACAAGCATTCCCGTGCTAGTTTTGCTTTATCATTGATTTATTCAAAGCATAAAAGTAGCCTCGAAAAACAATGGCAGCCCTATACCCAATCCGGCTTTTACATCAAAACACTTTCCTCTGTGGCCTGGGAAGCAGTTGGTCAGAATGGTCCCGGCAAAGTCCGTGGCCAAGAGAAGGCAACATCATCCCGCACTGGCTCCATCATCAAGTCACAGACTGCAACCATTTTGGATATAGCACGAAAGACCACGCGAGAGACGGCGGGGGAAAGCTGAGCACCCCCAAACCTACACAGTGCTGAGCTCCCCATAAGCATCCGCCTCCCGAGTCCGAGCTTTTACCTTGGATCCCAGCAACGGTTTTCCGGTCCTCCCCACCACGCGCCAAACAGAGCCACCCACTATCATACGTCCTGCCACGGCCGCCATGTCAAGTGAGGGAAATGGGAAAAATAGGCACGCCCCCTACCTCTAGCTACGTCGCCACACTCTGCGCAAGCGCGCGTGCGGCAAGGAAAACGCGGTGTCGGATTCGTGGTTATAAAAAGGAGGCGGGCGTTTGGGCACTCGGTGGTAATGTTAGGAAATGGGGAGCTCGTATATGAAGCTGGCGTGTAGCATGGATAGGGAAAAAAAATAAAGCTGCAGGAAGGGAAGCAGGGGAGTTTTGAAATGGGTGATCGTGGAAGAGAGTTTCCTAGAGTTCCCAGCCTCCAGGTGGGGCCTGGGGATCTCCCGCTTTTACAACTGATCCCCAGCCGACAGAGATTAGCTCCCCTGGAGAAAATTGATGCTTTGAAGGGTGGACTCTATGGCATTGTATTATGTTGAGGCCTCTCTCCTCCCCAAACCACGCCCTCTCCTGGCTCCACCCCCAAAGTCTCCAGGTATTTTCCAACCCAGACTTGGCAACCCTAGAGTTTCCCTTCTGCTCCCGAAAATATTATTTCCTTCACAGGTAGTTAGTGTGCGCCAAAAATAAGCAAGAGTTTTGTAGGATCTTCAAGACTAGTAGTCCATTCTGTCGTTTTCCTGGACGAGATCCCATTTTGCCATATTCTTTACAAGAAGAGATTGCATTTATACCCTGCCCTTCACTACCTGAAGGAGTCTCAGGGAGGCTTACAATCTCCTTTCTCTCCCCACAACAGACACCCTGTGAAGTAGGTGGGGCTGAGAAAGATCTTTTGAGAACTGTCCTTGAGAGGGCAGCTCTGAAAGAACTTATGACTGACCCAAGGTCACCCAGCAGCTGCATGCGAAGGAGTGGAGAATCAAACCAGGTTCTCTCAGATTAGAGTTTGTGCTTCTGACCACTACACCAAACTAGTGTGAGATGTGTTTCTTTAGGTGGGTGTGCTGATTTTCAGAGCTACATAATTAGCATGGTTTTGTTTAAATGGTAGAAACTGTTATTTTTTAAAAATTAAGTATTTCTACAGAGGGCCCCAGAAGAGAAGTCATCCTCAATGACTCTGTTCCAGTGGTCACAAAAGTAAAAAGGAGTCTGATAGCACTTTTGGAGACTTAACATGTATTGGAGCATAAACTTTCACGAGGTGGGTGTATGGTGTGAAACTTGAGTTTGCAAATAATTCTGAATAGGAGAGTTAAAAAGCTATGGTATATAAAGCATAGCAAAGCATACAAGATAACCACAGTGCCCATTCAGAACAGCCAACTGGCATTTATTTCTGTCATTTTTATGCCACCTTTCCATGGGGAAAAAACAGGCTCAAACCAGTTGACAAAAAAATAAGCAACTATTAGGTAAAGGTAAAGGTTTCCCTTGCTCAAAAGGTAGTTGAATCTGACACTAGGGTTGCAGTGCTCATCTCCGTTTCCAAGCCGAAGAGTCAACGCTGTCCGAAGACGTTTCCATGGTCATGTGGCCAGCCTGACTAAAGGTGCACAGTGCATGGAACGCTGTTACCTTCCCACCAAAGCGGTACCTATTTATCTACTTGCAATTTCTTGCTTTCGAACTGCTGGGTTGGCAGGAGCTGGAACCAGAGATGGGAGCTCACTCCATCATGCGGCACTCGGGTCTCGAACTGCTGAACTACCGACCTTCCAGCCTGCAGTTCAGCGTCTTAACCACTATTAGGCAGACATAAAGCCACAGAGGTCCCAGTACTCGTCCTGCCAGTTAGCAGGTACCTGGGAGGAAAATGTCACCAGGTGATCAGGAAATGCTGCTCTGTGCTGATCCTCCAGCCTGCTCTACCACTATTGCTGGGGAAAAACGTCCTATGGCACAAAATAGAGAACTGTTAGGAGATCTGCCTCATCCTCAGTTTCTAGATGACTTGGCTGCCACAAGCCTCTGATCTCTTGCTGGGTCAGTGGATGAGATAGCAGTAAAGAGCTCAGGTTAACACATGCAGAGGCTAAGAAAAATGTAATTGTACAGTTAAATGCACCTTGACCTGGATGGCCCAGGCCAGCCTGATCTTGTTGGATCTTGGAAGCTAAGTGGGGTCAGCCCTTGTTATTATATGGATGGGAGACCACCAAGGAAGTCCAGGGTTGCCACACAGATGCAGAAAATGGCAAGCCACCTCGGAACATCTCTTGTCTTGAAAATCCTATGGGGTTGCCATAAGTTGGCCGTGACTTGATGGCACTTTCCATCACCACAATTAAAAACAATTTAAATACAATTAAACCTACTAGTAGTAAATTCTAATTTAGCAATTACATGATGTTTGTCAATATACTGTTAAGCACTCTTCACCCAGCACTGAGAAGTTCCAGGGTCATCTCTACACTTGTATGAGGCAGCAGTTCCCCACAGAGATATCACCTTGCTGGAAGAGAAGCACCAGACACTATCTCTTAGTCTCAGCCTCCAGAGGGGGAATTAGAAGAGAGTCAGATAAACAGGCAAACTGAGTTCCTTCCTGTTTAGTCTTCTGCCTTTGTCTCTTTGATGAGTAGACTGATGATACTCTTAGGGAACTGCTTCCTTCCACTCACTTCTCTCTCTCGTGCACACACAAAGAAGGAAACACTCCATCTTTGCACCATGCATGCATGCAACCTCCATCTGCATCCATCCAGGTAGTTAGAATAGATTCTATCCCTATCTCTCATCTACCCTATCTAGAATGGAGTTCACTCAATAAAGAACTATTAGTTTGAAACTGACAAGTGGCTCTGTGCAACTCTGTAACATTGCTAGCACATACAGTAACAGCTAGACCCATATTGCTGCCTCTGACTCCGCCACACACACACTCTTGTCCGTTTTTATTTATATTCTTAGCATTCTATGGTTGCCACTCATTCTCTTTTTCCCTTTCTCTTACCTTCTGTCATTGATGGGACATGTTGGGGAAGAGGGAGGCTGGGTGGTAGGGTTACATGGTGTTTGTTGTTATATTTTGAGATGTAAAATTTATGGAAACTTTGGTCATAGGAAAAAAAAGTTTTCCCCTGGTTATTCCCCCTGAAAAATTGAATACTTCTGTCCTGCCAAACCTAAATGAATTTTACTGCTTTAACAACATAAAATACACAATTTATGATTTACTTAGCTTATAACATTGCAATGTTTGAAATATTTATGGAATTTAAAAGTTAAAAATGCTTTAGTTTTGTACAAGCAAAGTTGTAAATAAACCCAGGTCTTGAGACAAATCTGCAAGGTGATGCATCCTATGCTATTTTAGCACATGTACCATAGTTTTTGCTATCTGGTTGGAGAGACCTAACTTCTCTATGAAACTTTCAGTTTCCCTCAGAGGCTTTGATATAGTTTTTGCTCCACCTACTTCTGATTCCCCCCCCCCCGGCAAGGTAGGTCAGTAAGCTACTTTTTACCCAGTTTGTGGATAAATGTGTCACAGTGGTTTGAGGGAGAGTGAAAAGGTCAACCACATTAGGTCAGAAGGACAACAGAAGGCATGCAACTGTTGAGAAGCAATGAAAGCCCTGCATGCTCCACTCATGAAGATCAAGTATCCTTCTAAGTACAGAAATACACTTCAGTTGTATATGACTACAGCATGTCCACCTTGTCTTTAAAAACATTTCATTCATCTGAAAAGAGAAAACAAAATTTCCAATTTGTCTGTTGGAAAGGTTGGGAGGGAAAGGCCATTTTCTGGGCCTTTGCCTCTCTAATTATATTTACTACTCTATGTGAAAAATAGTAAAAAAACCGTACTAAAATAGTTTGGATATTATTCTGCAAGTTGAGGTTGTGGGATGCTGGAACTCTAGGCCTATATATCCAATATTTTTCTCTCAGATCATATTGTATTGATCTCTCAGATCATATTGTACAGTCTATCAAATTAAAATATTTTTAATCAGCTTTCCCAAACAGTAAAAAATTCTATAGGCAACTCTCCCTTGGCTGGCTTTGTTTGAATGCAAGAGAAGAAGGTGGTGGAGGAGGTTTGGATTTATGCCCCGCCCTTCACTCGGAGTCTCAGAGCGGCTTACAATTTCCTTCCCTTCCTCTCCCCACAACAAACACTCTGTGAGGTAGGTGGGGCTGAGAGATTGCCTCTGAGAGAACTGTGACTAACCCAAGCAGCTGCATGTGGAGAAGTGGGGAAATCAAACCCAGTTCTCTAGATTAGTGTCCACAACTTTTAACCACTACACCAAACTGGAGAGTACTGGAGACTTTAGGTATTTCTATAATGTTTGTTTTATTTACAGAGCATAAATGCAAAAAAAACAACTCAAAAAGACAGCAGATCTTGCACCACACATCATCCTTAGGTACAGATATCCTGCAAGTCAAATGCTTCAGCCAACTTCCAGCTCTGTCTTCTTTGCTTTCCCTCTGTTTCCAAATTCCACTGTTTGTTTGTACTCAGATACATCTGTCCCCTCTTCTCAGCTGGGATCACTATCTCCCAAGTACTTATGAATACTCCGAGAGCCAGGGGTCGTTTCGTAGAAAAAGAACTAGGGGAACTCATTAGCATATGCCACACCCCCTGACATCACGGGCCCGGCGGTGGACCTGCAAGGCCAGCGGGAGTGTGAGGAAGCCCCGCCAAGGCCCTCCCTGGCCCCAGGCAGGCAGGGGTGGGGAGAGGCGGGGAGGAAGCAACTTACCCTCCCTCTTCTCCTGCCTCCTCCTGGCTGAATGAGGGCTGGAAGTGGGGCGGCCGGAAGCAGGGGGTGGGGCTTCATCATGTGCCCCGCCCCCCACACCTCACCCGGGGGAACTGTGTTCCCCCACGATCCCCCCCGAATCGACCTCTGCCGAGAGCCATCAAGGGATCATCTTCTAACAATTATTACCCACTGAGGAAAATAATTTTTGAGTAAAAGTAATTGCTTATTCATTAGGACCTACTAAACTATCACAAGATAGTGGGTGTAATTCATTTAGGTGGGATTACTTGTCATAGCGTTGTCAGTCTCCTGGAGAAAATGGCTGCTTTGGAAGGTGGACTCTATGGCCCCTCCCCAAGCCCCG